TGATTTTTCTCCTGGTATCTATGTATTTCTGATTTTTCTCCTCAAAGTAAAAGTATATCTATAATCAATAATTTTATTTTTGTTATTTCCTAACATTTTATTTAATATTTTGGCATAATTCCTTACAATAACTATCTGCCAAAATTATCCATTATTTGTGGATTGTGGAATTAGTCTACATATATTTCAGGCTTTTCATTCTGTATGCACAAAGAGTGATTCTAGGCTTAGATCAGAAATTCAAAATCAATTATTCTACAGAAGATGTTTCTAATGATGATAAAATAATGTTCTGGAAGGTTTTGAAAAGTACAAAGTACGGTTCAGATAGGTGTGTTGTTATTGGAGTTGATTTAGAACCATCTGATGTAGACACAATAATTCATGGAAACAAACAATTTATTAATTATCAATCAAACAATTTACAAGGTCTTCAAGAAGTAATGAAAACTATTTGGTGTGTAAGGTAAGGTACATTGTTTATCCTTGGAATATTAGAATTATAATTATTTTTATAGTTTTGTCTCCCGAGATATACGCATTGTGCACATCGCAGAAGAGCTTTGTCTACGAACAAATGACTGTTTAACTATCATAAAAAATAACAGACCAAGCAACAGTACTTTAAACCTTACCAAAAATCATTTGAATCAGATAAATATTCTACTTCTACCCTCTGTTGAACACAGTAAAAGGATATATTTGGTGTGTCCAAATTGTGTTTCTAAAAATGAGCAAATAGTCAACATTTGGAATACAAGAAACAAGTCACTTCTGTACACAGTCACACAAACAGCCTGTTGCAATCCATTAGCAGGAAAGTAATTAAATAGTTTTACCAAAAAAGGAAAATTATCTCGGAAAAAAGTCCAATAACTATCACTAAAACATAATTTTATGAGAGGTTTCTAAAAGGTAGTAAATGATTATAATTGCGATTTTAAAAAAAATCCAAGTATTTCGACAAATTTTCAACAAAGGAATTGAGTCTTTGCCGCAAATTCTGTTTTTGTAAAACCTATATCTTTGCAACCTTATGATGTAAACCTTTGATTTTTCAAACTTACATTATTTGATCTAATAGCATTCACAGTTTGAAATATTAAAGGTCTACGACATTGGGTTGCAACGATATTGAAATTAGAAAATCAGAGTTAGTGGCAAAAACTCAATTCCTTTCGGCAAATTTTCGACAAACCTTAAATTTTTTTATCTCATTAAACTATATACATATATGCTAATTGCTTACTAAACTAAATTTCCACATATGTTTAAGAGCAAGTATTCTTTGGATACAAATTAAATTTTTGAATGATCTAACAAATTTTTTAAATTTTCTTTATAAATTTTTGCGAAAATGGTAATTATAAAATCATTGCAATTTCGCGAAGTTGATTTCTCAACAATTTTATCCAAATATAATTAGGATTAATATAATTAGGAAGAAAGTTGCGAATGCATAGTTTTATCCCTGTTACAAAAGAAGATAATCCATTCAGTTATTCTGGAGAAACAATGATCAATAAAAAAAGAGTCTCTAAAACTACTCGTGGTCCACTCTATGATGTATTTCATCTTCTGTCCAACTACTTAAGTTTTGATATCGAATTCATTTCAACCCAGAATACAAATCAAGTCAAACTAGATTTATTAAAAAACAGCGTGGATGTCATCCCTGCCTTTGCTTTAAACTGGGCGCAATTAAATGGTTCTCTTTTGCAATATCAAATTGGAAGGTGTTTGTTTATTACAAAAAAAAAATATAAAAAAATTGGCTCAAATTGATTTATTAAAGATTTGGTGGTTTTCTTGATTCAACGATTGACCTTGTTTGTGCATTTCCTAAGGAACAGGTGATTGCTATGGTTGTTTTAACTTCAGCTTTGTTAAATAAGCATTATTATTTAGGGAAAATACTGGAATTTGGTAAAACCATTTTCCTTATATGTTTGGATCGGATTCTTAATAAGCTTTCTATTTTGTCTTTTAGTATACCAAGCAATACTAAAAATAAAAAACTCGGGGAAAAGTGAAAATGGAGTTTTCATTCTATTTGGTCTTATATTTGCTAACTACAGGTAGGATTGGATACCAATAAACAATCATTTAATTATTACTGTGGACTAGAGTTAATTTGAATATGAACTGACCCGACCCCTTGTGGCCTTGTGCTGGGCTTAGTGACGCGCTGCATGTACCGACCCGACCGTATACTATGTTGGCCCGATTTCAACGTTGATGGCGCGGCCAGACTTTTTACAGTACCCGGCATATTTAACCTACCCCACTTGCTTAACTTGTGTGTTATATTCCTTCATTATTGCCTTTATTGTATAAGTGTGTCACTTTTTACTATTTACTTGCTGTTTAAAAGCTTGATATAAATCATATAGAAATAGGCGTCGTCTTCTTTGTATTGATATATATACGACGAAGACTGTACGACAATTTATTAATTTCAATAGTGATTTTGATGTAGAAACAATAGAGGAAATTGTCAGTGTTAAACATTGTCCATGGTATAAAAATGACGATATCTTCTACATTATTGACCAAACAAAGGCTTGCAAATTTTTCTAGGGTATCATAGTGAATCAGACAAAGTTTTCTAGGGTACCATTGCGAATCAGACAAATTTTTCTAGGGTACCGTAGTGAATCAGACAAAGTCTTCTAGGGTACCGTAGTGAATCAGACAAAGTTTTCTAGGGTACCTTTGCGAATCAGACAAATTTTTCTAGGGTACCGTAGTGAATCAGACAAAGTTTTCTAGGGTACCGTCGTGAATCAGACAACGTTTTCTAGGGTACCATAGTGAATCAGACAAAGTTTTCTAGGGTACCGTAGTGAATCAGACAAAGTTTTCTAGGGTACTGTAGTGAATCAGAAAAAGTTTTCTAGGGTACCTTTGTGAATCAAACAAAGTTTTCTAGGGTACCGTAGTGAATCAGAACAAAGTTTTCTAGGGTACCGTAGTGAATCAGAAAAAGTTTTCTAGGGTACCATAGTGAATCAGGCAAATTTTTCTAGGGTACAGTAGTGAATCAGGCAAATTTTTCTAGAGTACAGTAGTGAATCTAACAAATCAAAGTTTTTTTACGGTACATTAGTGAATAAAGCAACTCCACGGGCAACGTCGGGCACTTCAGCTAGTATCTAATATGATTGAATCATATTAGATACTATACTACTTGTGCAAGATTTCGTAGTTACTTTACTAGCTTCTTTAAGTGAAATATTTATTAGATAATGATTTGTCACTGCAATCTCTTATTTTCTAATTCCCCTATATTCCTTTCCGTTCTGATGTTTTACTAAAATATTAATTAGATAAAATCATCAAAGTTTGAAATATCTAAGGTTAACACCTTCACGTTACAAAGATATATGGATTCGAAAATGAGAGTTTGAAGCGAATTATCAGTTCCTTTACTGTTCTTTTTAGACCTGTTCCTAAGGATGTAAACAAAGTTGTTCTTGTCTGGACATGGTTCAGTTTTATAATTGTCCTGGCGTACACATCAAATCTTCGAGCTACCCTCGTATGTTAAACTGAAATTTTCAATCGTTTAAGTACAGTTGATTTAAAAAGGGCCTTTTTTAAATTAGCTTTGCCTCGGGAAAAATGATGAAGATATCAATTATTTGTTATCTTTCTCTTTAATATGGCTTGTGTATTTATGTAGTAGCGACAAAGTAGGAAACTAACAAGATAACAAAATATGTTGTTGTTAATACAGGTTTAAAGGGACTATTGTAAATCTAGGAAAGAAATGGATGTCACATGAAATTACATTGACAATCCCTTTAAACCTCCTTTTACAACTTGATGGTAAACCTATCTTAGGAAACCAGTAGTAATACGAGGAGAACAAGTTAGAAATTAAACAAATCAATTTGACTTATTTTTCAGGTTAAAATTGACTATGAAGATCCTATTATGAGTTTGAAACAATTAGTTTACAGTTCTAAAAAGATTTTGACTCTAAAGACTGATAGACTATGGGCCTCTGACAACTTCCATTATTTTGACTTCCTAGGTAAGTTTAATGAATAAATTCTTGAAAATCAGTAGAATATTAACGCAGAGAAAGAGTTTGGTAATATAAAGGGGAAGCATTGGGATTTATACGCAAAACCAGACCCCTCAATTACGAAGCCAGAGAATGTCGTCTTTTCTATAATTTAAAAAGATTTTAGAACTCTTTAAGCAAATCTCTTTTAACGTAATTTGCCTTTTTAAATGAATAACTTTAATATCTTTATAGATAAACTGTATCTTAAAACAGATGGCAATGTTTGGTTTACAAATTGTTGGCCGCCTCAAACTTGGTTAAAATTCTGGTTTAAACAAATAGAAAAAATATACTTAATGGAATCTAACCAATTTTGTTCTAAAATATTTGGTATTTTTCATACAAATGAGATGCGGAACAAGATTAAAAATTTTAGACTTATTTTTGCAGGAGCGTCTTATCCTGTAACTGATTAAAACAAATTTAGAAGTTTATTACCGTACGTCGTTACCGTATATTTCTGAGAAAAATAAATTGGCCCTGACATGAATGATATTCCTGACATGAATGATATTCCTGGCATGCATAATGTTCCGCCGATATTTTCTGAAATGTCCCTTTTCTTGTTTGTATGTTTTGTGACAACAACGTATTGCAAGTGCTCAGCCCGTTAGGGTCCCCGAGAGAGTTTGCTTTAAACTATATTCAACTAATAACATTGATAATCATTAAATTATTCCGCTCCTTTAATGTCCAAGGGTATGTTAAAAAAAGAATGATAATGATAATGATAAGCTACAATAATTACAAAAAAGTTAAATTTTTCAAAAAAAAATTTAAATATTCTTCCGTCTTGTTGCTATACGTTGGATTTCTATAATGTTTGGCTTCGCATAAACAATACATATCCAGTATATCGTATTTAATCAAACAAATTAATCACTGTAAATTAAACAAAGGTGGCAACGCTTAAGGTAAAGAATTTAAACTCGAATACATATTTCCTACAGATGACAGCTGGGGTAGAAAGAAATATAACGACTGTACTTGCACTGAACAGTTTAGGATTATTTACTTAACGAGACGTACATCCTTTTCAGGGTTAAAGCCTGCAGTGGTAAAAATTTTAATATTTCCCCTCACACTTTAGTGGAATATATATATATATCATAGTGAACTCGTGCAAATATCGATATAATTTTGACAATCACATCTGAGAAGAAAAGCTAAAAGCAGTGTTATATATATATATATATCCGTATCTAGGGATACATATGAGTCTAAAGGCGTTTTAAACATTTGAATGTCTACACAGTCTTAAAAATTGACGCAAAACTTTTCATTGCAGTAAGAAAATATTAGTTATCATGTTGTTTAGAGAGCAAGGGTAGATTACTGGATACTGGTAAACCCGAAAATATGAGCGTGGTTGATGAAGATCATTGCACTGGACACAATGGTTGGGTGGTAAACAAACATGTTTATGGTGTTTAGAGTACATCAGAAACATCAATTCTTTGTTCTTTTTTAATAACATATTTTTTCTTGTAGTATTTGTTATTAAGTTTTTTTTATCTTGATATTTTCAGGAAGGAATTGAAACAAAAAGCTGACTTGTGTTATGTTCTTCCTAGAATCTGTAAAATACATTTTTAAAATTTAAAATTCTGACAGCTTCCTTCTTCTAGGTGCTGAGTGCGATAAGGCAAAGTATTATAGAAGAGGGGAAGCAGAAATATTATGTTGCAAAGGAACCTTACATCTTTACTCCAGGACAATGTTTTATAACAAGGTAAATGGTTAAAAAATAGACAACTATATAGTTTATGATAAGAAATTATAAAATGTAATATATATATATATGTAGGAGGAAAGAGTCATTTTTCCAGTCTCTCGACCAGAAAATAAATCGAATTGCAGAATTTGGAATTTTGGGAAAGCTAAAATCAATGAGTCTACCAGAGGCAATTAAAATAGATCCGCCCTCGGACCTTCTTCCTTTACAGTTGGAACATTTCCTTATTTGTTTTATTATTCTAGCTGCAGGGATATCCCTAGGCGTCTTAATATTCATTATTGAGATAGGATTCCAACCAAAATACTAGATTAGATGATGTGTGGATTGTTGAAATGCAAAATAAATATAAACTCTATCAACCTTTGACTGATCAGGATGATGAACCTATCTCTATTAGTCCTTCAACTAGCCTTACAACCAACCAATGAAAGGTTTTTGGTTTTAAATTCCAAAGAGCAATGTTCTGGTTTACCTTTTGTGTATTTTAAATGGCGTAACTTTTTGTTTGAAAAATTGATTGGCAATTCACGCTTTTCATTATTTTTAAAAAAATTCCGTTGGTTAAGATAACTTTGCTCAGTTCTATCAATGTCACATTATAAATTAATGAAACCTGAAATAATCTGCTAGCTTTTTCTGCATCAGAGCTAGCCTCAACCAAGCTCGGGTTCTTCCAATATGTGTTCTAAATAAATATCTAATATTTAATGCGGCCAGATTTAATCTTTTAGAAAACTTTTTAATTAGGTTTAAATGTGTTTTTAATTATACATTCGAGCTCGGGTTTTAACGATTCTTTTGAGCATTTTTATGAAAAGATTTGTCTAGACTGATTTTAAATATTTGAATCAAGTTTTAACAAATTTACATTTTTAAAGAAAGATTATATTTTTTTTAAACAACAAGCATTAGATTCTAGATTTTTAATCTTGGATAAAGCAGTAAACTCTAAATCTCATGCCGTTCATTCAATTGTAAATAAAATATAACAATTTGCGTTTTTTACCATTCCCGTAAAGATCTACCTGACAGTTGGAAGATCTACCTGACAGTTGAAAGATCTACCTGACAGTTGGAAGATCTACCTGACAGTTGGAAGATATTCCTCTCAGTTGGAAGATCTACCTGACAGATGGAAGATCTACCTGACAGTTGAAAGATCTACCTGACAGTTGGAAGATCTACCTGACAGTTGGAAGATCTATCTAACAGTTGGAAGATCTACCTGACAGTTGGAAGATCTACCTGACAGTTGGAAGATCTATCTAACAGTTGGAAGATCTACCTGACAGTTGGAAGATGTATCTAACAGTTGGAAGATCTACCTGTCAGTTGGAAGATCTATCTAACAGTTGGAAGATCTACCTGACAGTTGGAAGATCAACCTGACAGTTGGAAGATATTCCTGACAGTTGGAAAATCTACCTGACAGTTGGAAGATCTACCTGACAGTTGGAAGATCTACCTGACAGTTGGAAGATCTCTTACACTTGCTGTTATATCTTGAGCTTCAGTATCAAGAAGTTCAACCTTTTGTAGCAGATCCCATAATTCCTTCTTAGGACCTAGCAGACCCTAAAAATTAAGTTTAGTGAATCCCATAGTTCTGTTTATTTTCTAAATATCTTCATTTTCGCGTTAAAAACTTGTGAAGTTTTAGTATAAAATGTGTACTGCATAGCAGAGGTTCGGTGCTGCATAGCAAATATATCACTACTTTCACCCTTATTTATTATCTTAATTTTTGCATTTCCTTATGTTACATTTCAGCGTTGTAATTTAAAAGTGCTTTTTACCTTCTTGGGTTTGATTCCATGCCTAAGTACGTGTTCTAGAACAATAAAGAAATGCTGAAGTGGAATATGATCAGAGTCAAGCTGACGCCCAAACTTCATACTGCTGTCTATAACCTAGAAAGTGCAATTGATTACCGGACTCGGACTCAAATTTTATTATTCTTATAGCTTTATCACCTCGTGGTGTAAACATTTGATATTTTCAAACTTTGTTTATGTCAAGGAGAATTGAATAGAAGGAGGGGGCGATTGGGTTTCTGTACACTTTGCTGTGACGTTTTTGGACTGCTGGAGAACTAGTTTTTGCGTAACAACAATAATAAAGATTGTAAACAATAACACAAATGATAAACAGACATCTGGCGCATCTCTGGCGTTAGATGAAGATTCACCGTATACTAACTCATGTTTGTTTACATTAGATCGGCTGCCTTTGTTATTGTTGTTACGCAAAAACTAGTTCTTCAGCAGTCCAAAAACGGCACAGCAAAGTTTACGGAAAACCTATCGCCCCCTCCTTCTATTCGATACTCCTTGGTCTATGTGATCTAGCAAATTTCACAGTTTGAAATATCTAAGGTCTTTGATATCAGTTAGCAAAGATATAATTTATAACAAGATTTTAAAAGTACATGATTGGATATAGAGATTGCAAATTGAACTAGTATAGTGCCAGAAAGAAGATGAATACTATAATTGAAGTATTCATATGACGAGTACCTAGATGAGGAAAGAGATGCAAATGGAAGAATTAAAAAAAGAAAATGATAAAAATAGAAGATCAGTAATAAGCAGGATAAATAGAAAAGAAGAAATGATAAAGAAATCATCATAACAAAAAAATATAGGAGAAGAAGCTGATAAAGAACAATAAAAGTGAAGAAACATAGAAAAAACAAGATGAGAGTATTAAATAATTGTAACAGCAAAGGTTTAAAATTAACAAACAAATGTTAGATTTTTAAAGACAAATAGAATAGATTAGAATAGAAAAGAATAGAATAGAATAGAATAGAATAGAATAGAATAGAATAGAATAGAATAGAATAGAATAGAATGAAAAAGAACACTGAAGAAGAATAGTTTACTCACCTCCTTTACAACGAGTTTGCTTATATTGACCAGGTTACTCCGCTCAATCAGCACAGGGTCCCTCTCTGCACATTGATTATTTATTCATTTATTTCTCTTTAAATTCAATTATTTATTGTATCCTTCATATTATTATTTTATTCATTTATTTCTCTTTACTTTCATCCTTTTGCTCATCCTTAACATCATGATTCATATTCATCCTTTTATCACATTATAATTTATATAATTTATAATTTTTTAAATTTATAATTATCATAATTTACAGTGATCCAAAAGTGAATTATTCATTATTTCGAACACCTATTGAATCATTTATTAATTTAATATAAATCAATCAATTTATACTGCTCAAAATTCTCTCCCTTTGATTCTGTCAGTAATTAAACATGTATAAACTTGATGAATTGATTTAATCACCAGCTTTCTCTTTCAGCTGATTTTGTCTTTTCTATGGAAATAATTCTTTAATTGATTAATTTCCTCGTCAAATATTTCTTTAGATATTAAATTGATGATCCTCCACACACCTCTAGGCCCAATAGGATAGTTTGGATAAAAGGTCGTCTTCTCTAGTTCAGGGGTAGGTGGGAAATTATTAGAAACATAATAAACTGGAAGTACCTTTAAGCATAACCACTCTCCGTCAACCGAAACCCTGTAAAAATAAGAAAATAAAGAATTAAATTAAAACTATAATTACCAAAGACGACCTACCTGAAGTTACAAAGATAAATTGTATCATTTGGGGCCGCTTTGGGTTCCGACATTCCACCCATTATAATATTTCCGACCTGTTCAATCATTCTAAACAAAATTCAACATTTTTTAGTTTACATTTTTATTGTTATATATTATATCGTAACTGGAGAGGGTCAACCAGACCAAAATATATTCTTAACAAAATGTGGAACTAACGCCTACTTTACTAAAACACATTTTCAAATAAATAAGTTATGTCTAATATTTAAATTGAGGAATTAATTTGATTTGTTAACAAACAAGGTTTTAAAAAATACATTTGAATTTTGCCAAATTGTAGGGTTTAGGGCTTTAGAGCTTAGTAGTTAGTAACTATAAAGAGTTTTAGTAAAGGTTTCGTAGAATATTTAGGGACGCAATTGGAAAACCCTTAATGTGTTTAAGTTTTGTTTGTTTTTTATTTGAATTTTTTAAATACTTGAATTATCAATACTGATTCTGATAATACTACACTGTGGTTTTCTAAAAGCAAATATATTTTAGTTGACACGAATACACGCTAATTTAGACGGATTTAGTTGACACAAATACACGCTAATTTAGACAGATTGGTTTAATTAGTGTCAGGAAGCTTTTATTTTCCTACAATTTTCACACATAGATGTCACTCTTCATTTTTATTAATGGAATATTACACCCTGCTTTTCTTGACATCGTAGTTAATTTTTCAAATTGAAAATATTACAATTTTGCGGAATAAAAACGAATATAAATAGTTACACAAAACAGAGATCACAGTGCTACACAACGATAATAATAATTTTAATGATAACAATAACATGATGATGTAAATATAGTAAATGTGTGTTTGTATATGTATGTACAATAATATTACCTAAAGCCGGCCAATCTGTAGAATTTAGAGAAATGTAATTGAATACAAATATTACATTCGCCTCCACCCCCTCTCTAAACCAACACATTGAGTATACCGCATTTCAATCACATGTGATAACAAAAAGGATAACTTACTCCAATTAACGAGGTGTATCCTGTCAATTAACGAAGTGTATCCTGACAATTACGAAGTGTATCCTGACAATTAACGAAGTGTATCCTGACAATTAACGAAGTGTATCCTGACAATTAACGAAGTGTATCCTGACAATTAACGAGGTGTATCCTGTCTTTTAACGGGGACCTACAGTTTACCGTGCAGTCTTTATTGGTCTTCATTATGAGCCGATAGTTACACATTGTATGGGTATTGGGTAGAATAAAATGAAAGTAATGAAAGTAAAACATATATTTATAACCACAGAAATTCCTACGGGCCCCCCTCATAATATGATATGTAGATTTTAGATACATACTGATAACATGATAAAATTAATATAAAATCTTTATAAAGGTATGCGCAGTATAAAAACTATAAATGTGTTAATCAGATCTCTGTAGATTTGATAAAGACGAAAACTGAATATTATTATTAAGTATCTACATGTAAATATGTGTGTGTAGAGACTACTCTGCTGAAAACAGCTGGAGATATTTGTGAGTTGTTTTTAAATCTATTAGTTGAGAGTTGAGTACAGTTCAGTGCAACTTGTCAACCCTATATAGGAACTATGATAGATACATATTACATATATCTAAAATACTTTTAAGAGGGTCGTGCCTTTCGTCCCAGTTATAATCGTAACTGCTTAGTCCTATGCATTAGCCCAGAAAAATGTTGAGAAATTCAGGCTATTTTACGTTCATAAAGAACAATAGTGAAAAGTAGAGTTTAGTAAAACCGAGAATATAAAAATCTGAATAAAAATATGCCAAATGTATGTAAACTGTATAGTAAACAAAGAAAAAATGTCTTGAAGTGAATATGAAATTAGTATTGCAAGAACTTTAGTCATCGATATCTGAATAATGTGTTATTTTAGTCATATGATTATCATACAGCTCTTCTAAATAATTTGACAGATTCGTTTAAGCATGTTTTAAAGTACTTCTATGACTTCTATTTCAAGAAAGAACAGCTCTTTTGATTTAAACTTAAATTTCATGACAATAAACACGTCTACTTAATTAACATTCAGGGATGTAAATGTACGAACAGTAATTAGAAACTTCGCAAAAAATGTATTTTTTCACAAAACTATTTTTAACACAATTTTCTTAGCTGTGGAAATTGCACAACTCAATGTAGTCATTGTTATTAATTAATACCGTCAATCTATATATAAATTTGGCTTGTCTGTCTGGGTGTCTGTTTGTCTGTTTGTTTGTTTGTATCCAATACACGTCAAAACGGCTGAACAGATCGGGCCCAAATTTTTTGTGGGACATCACGTGACCACAGGGAAGGTTTATGAATGATCAAAATTTCAAATATTTGTCTCCATCGAAATTTGATTTTCATTAAATTTTTGAAAATTTGAAAAATCCACGAAATTTTTCGTGTAAATCCGCGAATTATTTTTGTTTTGTTTTACGATGTACACAAAGAGAACATGTTCACAATTAATTTAGAAGATGGGCGCGAAGCGCCCTATAAGGCTAGTAACTTGAATTTTAATTTAAAGTTTGAGTATGTTAAGAATTGTGATTGTTTTTACGATTTTTATGATTTATTAAGATTTCAGATTTATAAAGTTTGTTAATGGTAAAGAATGGTTGATATCCTAATTAGACCCTGGATTGTAGATTTCTTCACAATAGGTAAATCATTTTAAAATAACTCTTCTCAAAACGAACTAATGCCAATTTATGACGATCTCAATAATATTATCAAAATAAAATTAATTTCTATAAAACTCACCATGAAGAACTTATAATTTTATTAAAAGGTGATTATATTAACTACAAACTGTTGAATAAAGCTTTAACAGAAAAGTACAGTATTAAAAAAACTAGAAATATCAACAATATTAAGTTATAAGATCTCTGTTTGTATGTCCGATCATAACTCATGAACCCCTTGACCGATTTGTCTCAAATTTATTATTGGGGAACTCGGGAAAACCACGGGAATGTTGTTAGCTTAGTTTTGCGATATTAAGCTGAGTAGGCCTACTTTCAAAGGAAAAAAGAGCTAAAATTTACGATAACGCGCTGTTAAACTGTGGGAGTAACTGAAGTACCCTGGGCAACGCTGTGTTCTCAAGCTAGTAAAACAAAAGATTTAAAGTCTAGTTTGATTTTTTTTCAAAATTAACGAGTTTTTAAAATATTCCTTTTTATTTCAGTTTACTACAGCCTGCTGTACTGTACTGGACTTTACACAGTATCTATTTACTTTCTATTGATGCAGTACATTTCAACCCAGACATCTGTACAACCAACAGGAGTCGTTTTTGTATAAAGGTAAATAAACATTAAGCATTACTCGGACAATGATTTTAAAAAAATTGTTGTGAAAACAAAGAATCTTTAAAGTCGGCAAAAAAACTAGAAAGGATTTCTAGCTGAAGTTTAGAATAAGTTTACAGATTCTTTAGAATAAAAGGATAATCTAGATCATATAAAGATCAAAAACATTAAAAACTAGATATTTGCATAATCATTGAATACACTTAATTATATAAGCTTGTTTTTATGTGTGGAGGAAGGAGTTCAGATGCGTGAAGCATGATGAATTTATCAGATGAAGAGGAAGAAGCTCTACATTGTGCTAGGTAAATAAACAAAACAATATTGATAATAAAAATATATTTTAAACAGAGAACTCTGTTGAATAGGAGACGACATTTAAGCTATCTTATGCGTATTTGATGTTGTAAAAAGCAATTAGTTTTTTTTAATATAGTTGCTTGAAAATCAACTTTTTAAGGGAATTGGGTCTGAGTACACTGCACAATTTCTGTCTAAGAGTTGTCTTGCGTTTTTAAAGTTGCATATGCCAGTCTAAAAGTTGCATGATCTGTGCCGGTACAACACGTACTGAATATGCATTCAGTCGTACTATCCAGTCAGGCTATACCCAGTGTAAAGTCGACCCAGCACGTAGCCTGGCAAGATGACATTGTGTGTGGGTCCTGCACACTGTATGTATCTAATGCATAATAATAAGATAAAATACAATACAGTGCGAGTGACGTCAGAACAGTCCAACCATAAAATATACACTGAAGTGCTTTCTCCAAACAAATACCTTAGCTTTGTTTAATCTTGTTCTGTTTCATTATTTTCTACTAAACTAATTTCGGAGATTTGACAATTTTTAAATTTGTTAACATATGATTTTTTAGGTCTCAAACTCTTCCAGACATCAAAAGGTGAGCACATGAGGGGTTGGAGGGATGTTTTTTTTTCTGGCTTGGGAAAAGTTGAAAATGCTGTTTTATACTTATTGTCTTAAATTGGAACTTTCTATCGTTACGTTTTTTTTTACTTTTTGTTCAAGATAATTACTATAATCCATTTATTTTTATTTTTAGATTAAACGGCAGCCATGCTTCAGCTTGGTCTGAAGAATCTCAGGTAATAGAAAAATTGGATTTTAGTAGAATATAGTGGAATATAATGGAATATAGTGGAATATAATGGAATATAGTGGAATATAATGACATATATTTGAATACAGTGGAATGTATTAAAAAGTAGTGGAATATAGACGAATATAGAGGAATATAATGGAATATAGTGGAATATAGACGAATATAGACGAATATAGAGGAATATATTGGGAAATATTTAATGAAATATATCAAACTTTGTTGAACTAAAGTGGAATATAATATAATGGCTTTTGTGGAGTATAGCGGCTTATGGGATACAGTGGTCTGCAGAAATAACAATAAAGTATAGGAGATTTTATATTACAGCTTAAATATAAATGCCGCAACTTGTAACAGCGTGTCATTACGTAAACTGTTGCTCAGCATCTGAACTGTTACAACAGCCTTAAATTCACTAAAATAAGATATGTCAAGTGGTGCATTGTCTAAAGAATTTAACCCTGAAATTTATTTAATAAAAATAGTCCTTCCATTTATCAAATTTTCCACGGCATATGAAAAGGAAAGAGGTATCTAACGATTGTTTTTAAAGTATTGAAATATCCGCTGACCGCTGTATTGTGAAATATTGTGACTTATAGTGATATAAAGTGGAATATATGGGAACATTTTGGAAATAATGGCATTTTTTAGAATATAATGGAAGATAATGGAATATAATGGAATATAGCATAATATTGTGATATAGTGGATTATAGTGAAAGATAGTGGAATATAGTGGAATATAGTGGAATAAAGTGGAATAGAGTGGAATAAAGTTGAACACTGTGGGATATCGTTTAATAAGGTGGAATACAATGAAATTTAGTGGAATATAGTGGAGTACAGTGGAATATGGTGAAATATGGTGAAATATACAGTGGAATATAGTGAAATATAATGGAATATAGTGAAATATAGTGGAATATAGTAAAATATAGTGGAATATAGGGGAATATAGGGGAATATAGTGTAATACAATTGGGTATGTAGTGGAATATTGTGGAATATAGTGTAATATAGTGGAAAATGGTGGAATACAGTGGAATATAGTGGAATAGTGGAATAAATTGGAATAAAGAGAAATAAAGAGGAATATAGTTAAAATTGAATATATTATAAATATATTTGTTGTTGCTAAGGGTGTTGAAACCAAGGTTGGAAGAGCCTGGATGGATATGCTGGATTTAGAACAAAATACCCTCGTAGAACGAGTTCATCATTTAGGCACATAAACATAAAACAGAACACAATATACATCTATAAAAATAGAATAATCTTCTACAGGAAATGATTCAAGGGGTTCGGGTAGGTAGGACAACCTTCCGTTAACAAAAAACAAGTTTTTGAAAAATAACGGAAGATTCTTTAAACGAAATAAGGTTGAGAATTAAATTAAAGGTGATTTCCAAGTCTAATTAATCTCAAATGTTCTGAAATTCTGCTTATATTCACTAAACATTCTAAATTATAATATTGTCAGTTTATAGCTACACTGTATTTCCATCAGCCAAAACCGAACTTCCTCATAAGTATTTCTGATTTTAATAGGCAGTTCAAATTCTTTAATTATGGGATGGTTTATTCCTCTATAAGAAACATAGACTAGATCTACACAGACTGCTCATAAGCTTTCACTGGATAGGTTAAGCAGGCATGCTACATTTCCATGAAAGGTTTTTGACTGCCATCTAACGGCCACTTGTTGCATATTATACCCAGGTTTTTGACTGCCATCTAACGGCCACTTGTTGCATATTATACCCATATTCAGGGTTTAAGTTTTACAAATTTTAAAGAAATACTCTCACTTTTAACATAAAATTTATTAATTTAGTCAATTTTTTATTTCGTTACCAAAGGATCCTTAAATATCCCTGAATGCAAACGTCTGTTTATTAATCGCATACACAATGGAACCTGCAGTGGAAAATATCTCATATTTTAGCCTTTAATATATCTCTGTACTCTCTTATATCTCATAAGGAAGTTCAGCGCAAAAGAATTATAATGTAAAGATAGTTATTTCAGAGGTGTTTGCATTTTTTGTACTGCAGTTTACTGTCTTTGGGCTGTAAAGTAAACACAAAACTGATAGCATGGGATCCATCTTTTACATAAAAAATCAATGAAATATTCTGGTCATAGGAAACTATTATGTGAATTATCCAAATTATCATATTTAGAAGCTTTATCCTCCTCGGATACTAGAGGAACATTGATGCATCTATTCTTGTTTACATACACCGGCAAGAATGAACTGGTTTCCATATCTATGCAGAGAATACGCAACAGCAATTAACTTTCCTTGTCGTATTACCTTGATTCAGCGTATATTAACATGCAGTACACAAAACACTACTTGAAGTCAACATTGTTATACATAATATTAGAGCGTTTATAATTCTAAATTGAGATTTAAAGGACAAATAAGAAAATGTTTAAAAATGAATCATTTAAAAAAAATGTAAAATACCAGATTTTTCGAGAATTATGTGGCGTTCTGCGCATGAAAGGAAAAGTTCCGTTCTAAGGTAGGTCGATTGACAGTACGTTAACGATATATTGTCAAATGGCCCTACTCACTACCTTAGAACATTTCCTTCCTCGTAGCATGCAGAATATCATGTACATGCTTGTAGAAATACAGTGTACTTTTTGATTAATGTTTTTTTTGTCGGGGTTCATTTCTACCAACTTCAGTTCCTGTAAAGATTTTAGCACTGCCCAAACTAAATTATTCTTAAAGTTTACAATATAAGTAACTTTGTTTACGATCTAATATGTTGTGATTTCCAGAGAAAAAAGTTGAACTTCAGCAAGACGAAATATCCTGCCTCAAGGTATACTCAAGAACACATTGAAATGTTTAAACATTAATCCAGATGGGCTACTTTTTTTTTGGGGGGGGGGTATTCTTTTATTGTAGAAATTCATGCATTACCTTTAGAGATGAGAACGGGGAGTGTTATATATATATTTCATAAATTCATATTTCCAAGATATTAATAGCATAAGGTGCTGTGGAGGTCAAGATGATAATATTAATAAGAGTTTATTTGAATATTTAGGCTACCCTTGCTGAGTGTATCAGAAGAATTGGTTCCATTGAGACCTCTAAAGAAAAGGTGAAAATAAAAACTGAAATGGATTTTTAGCATAAACTTCTTATTTATTTAAATAGTGCCATTAGCAATTAATCCTTAATTCAATCCTTATTTTGATAACGATAGTAAGATTTAGAATTAATAACTACCTAATTCCATCCTTATTTTGATAACGATAATAAGATTAAGAATTAATAACTACCTTGGAATTTTACTGATTAGTTGTGACGTAGAAATTCCCACGTCACTTTCCCTCTGTAGGTATAAACCTACCGGAATCCATGTACAAAAAAATCCTTACTAATTTACGAATTCATTGTCAGCTTTGATCTTAATAATAAAGGGGAAGTTTTGATTTTCAAAATATGGTCGAGATTCACATCTAATGAAAACATTGAAGATCTACATTGATAAATTAAAATAGGGGGAAATATTTCATATCTAATGTTAAATATATGGTTTGATTATCTTAAACCATATTTTCAAAACCACAGGATTTGGAAAAACACATTCAGAGCTGAAAACTTTAGAATGGTGGATATCAAGATTAATGCTGAAACTCCTGGTTTTACTAAACCCAAGATTATCTTAAAACACATTCGATATACATTGGTTAAAAATTTAACCAATCAGTGAAGATGCACGCTTTAACTTATTAAAGATTTCTGGTGTTGATGGTGTCATATTAATTGAACTAGACATCGATTGAACGAACGTAAGTTTTGGATTATTGTTTATAAAGTCACATATTCAGCCTGCTTATAATTCATCAATTTTTATGAAAGGGTCAACTTTAATTTTACGGCTCTCACTCACATATGCTTTTCTGTAGCCCTTTACATGTGCATTTTAGCACTATATAGCACTTGTTGTTAACTTTGGGTTTTAAGAAGTAATCGGCAAAATTCTCATCGATTATTGCTCGAGGCATTGAGATCTTTCAATCGCAGTGACAGTCCAATTACCTTGCAAGTACTACTTTATCTCTCCTTGAAACAAACTAGCAAAAACAGCATTGTTTCTAAAATATCGACATTTTATTATACTGTTATGTTAGTAACAATTAGTATTTAAACTAGAGATAGTAAAAACATTTTTGAAAATGAAAAACTTAACTTAAACTTAAATTCTATGAGATGAAAAAAAAGGACAAAGGTGCAGAAAATAATTATGACTTGTAAAAGTTTCTATTTTCTGCTGTGAAAAAAGTAGGAGTACAATTGTAATCTATATAATAAAGCTCTTAGTTCATTTATGTGTTTGCTATGGCGGGCCAAATGGCTGAATCAATTGGGCTGAATTTTAGTGAGGAAACTTATGGATACCCTTGGGGATGACATAAGCTAAATAAATTTCAAGTTTTTTGTTTAATGCGATTTTTAAATTTCCATGGGCAACGCCGGGCACTTCATCTAGTTTGTAATAAAAAGAAAGATTAAATGAATAAAGTAAATTAAATCCAAAGTTTAAAAAAAATGTTCTTTTACTACCTCCAAACTCAAGCCTTCGTAGCTTGGCATTTAAGAATAATTGTTTTACTTCGCTATCCCTGATAGCGCCCATCCGATTAGGATGAATGTGCATTCTAGATAGATTTTTCATTCGGACTTCTGTCATGGTGGCTCTTGTTCAAGTATACAATTTTCTTAGTGCACTGAATGAACAGCCAACTATTTTTTTTGTTCGTCCCTCTTCAGTTTAAGATTTGAAAAGTGTGAAAGCTTTGAGTTCTAGGGGGCGTGCCCCCCTTTGCAGGTCTGGGGGGTGGCACTACCCCCCTTGCCCCCCTTTATTTTTGTATTTTTGTTATGCTCTAATAGCCGGCTTGTAAACAGCTGACTTTAATTCAATCGGATATTAGTTCAATCGATATAGCATTGTATCTGCAATTGTTATCAAACGGAACTTTTATACAGTAGGGATATCCAAAAAGAGGATTATAAGAATAAAATCAAAAGTGTGTACATTGGATAATCAGATTAAGCGATTGTTATTAGGGTTATCTCATTCTAAAGTTTTCAGCTCAGTTCTAATAAAGTTGACAGATAATTGCTGCATATATCAAAGACTGTCTGAACAAAAAAAATCCACCAATCTGAAAGATTTGTTTCTCTAGGTTGATCTCAGTCCTGCTCCAGACTCCGCAGTATCTAGGATACCACAGAGAACCCTTACCCAGGTAAACTTTACCATTTGTATGTGGGTAATGCACAAATTTTAAACCTGCATAAAACTGATCTCATAAACGTTTTATTTATTTTTTACTTTGAGAATTAGCAATCATTATATTATAGATCAAATAATAAGTAAAACTATATACATTACACAACATTCGGCCAACTGGACTTTATCCTTGCCAGGTGTAATTTTCTTTATCTTTTTTTTCAGCTTTAAAGACATTGACTTGTTATGTTTACCAATTAGGAAAGTTAAAATTTATGGAGTTTGCCAACCCTTGCTTGATGAAGTTGTTGTTAAGGTGATAGTACGAAGAGATGGTGTATCCAGTAGACCAACCAATTCAAATAGAAATCTGGAACCAGGCACAGACATTAAAACTCCCAAACTTCACCAGAGAAAAGGGTAATTATAATAATATGAAATAGGTGAGTTGCCAGAGGAAGTTTAAAAAATGCCAACAAATGTTTAGCCTATGTCACCCCTGGGATTCCTGGAACCCATTAATAAATCTAAGTCAATTTGATCCAGCTGGTTGGCCAGATAGCAAACATATACATATATATATATACATATTATATGTATAGGGAACATCTATATATAAATTTGGCTTGTCTGTTTGTCTGTTTGTCTGTTTGTCTGTCTGTTTGTATCCAATAAACGTCAAAACGGCTGAACCGATTGGGCCCAAATTTTTTGTGGGACATCTAGGGACCCAGGGAAGGTTTATAAATGATTGAAATTTTAAAAATTTGTGTTTAAGAGGTTTTTAATTTTGTAAAAAAATTTTAATTTTTGAAAATCCGCGAATTTTTTTCATCTTTGTTTTGAATTGTAAACAATTCGAACATGTTCCTAATTTAAATAGAAGATGGGCGCAAAGCGCCCTAAAAGCCTAGAAAGATATGAATTTCTAGTATGTGTAAATATTAATATGAGCGAATAGTATGCAGATATAATTGCAGGAAACATTACCAGAACACACATGAAACATGAGCAAACAATTCTGAAATGACTTTAACCAGATTGTGAGTTGGTATTGTTTTAGTAACTGCATTTTGAGCAATCAAATCTACAAAATAAAGATTGTTTGTTTCCAGGAACTCAATTGGATGCCGCGCAAATGGTTCTCTTGGTCGTCTTCACAAACAGTGGAGATCCTCGAATGATTTTGATGCGCCCTTATCAGTTTACAAAAGACCAGGAACAGGTAGAACCAGAAACATAAATCACACATGAAAAGTTGCATCAACTTTCAAAACTGGATTGACTTTGATTTTTCCTCACCAACTTACCCAATATTTTTTGTAGCTTTAGTTTTTAAACTGGCAAAATTCTCATTTAACTTTGTGTGAGAGTTTGTAAACTATAACCACTGTGATTAAAGCGTACTTTAATTAAACATGTAATTACAGCCCATGGGAAAATATGTAAAGTGTAAAATTTTAGATGGTTATTCTGTTGCCTTCAGACTATTTTCCAAGGCCATTTACAATCTAAATGGAATTTTATGTTTCAGTAAGAATTTTATATTCGCAGGTTGTTCCCAATAGTGAAAACCATGCAGTATAAACTGTAATTTAAAGAAGCAATTTTTTCTTCTAATTTTACAAAAAAAAATATTCGCTTATAATAAATTAAGGATCTTCACTAAGCTTCAGATCACCTTCATCCACTCCGTGTTCATCTACACCGTACTCAGCCACACCATACTCCTCACAACATAATCTCAACAGGTTATCGTAGACTATTGATATTTGATATATGTTCTAGGAGCATTTTTTCTTTAGACATTTTCTTGTTTTTATTTGTAAGTTATGAAGATATATGAAAATCAATCAAAAACCAATATTTACGTTTTTAGAACAAAGAAGTCAACCCAACAACAAATACAAAAACTTAGCCAGATGATTAGCACTGCAGATGCTATCAGATTAGAATTCACAGCATAAACATATTTTTCTATTTTATTTAACTAATAGAGGTTCCCCTTGTTTCAAAGAACCTTGAATTGAATTCTTGTAAAATATTGATAAATGTTTTGCCAGGCTTGGCATTCCTCCATCCGGCCCTGTTTGTTCTGAAGATGGGTCCATCAGGAAATCTTCATAAATATAAATAATTTTTCATTTTTTAGTTTTGGAGGGCGGAAAAAACTTGTTTTTTTATCTCTAACTTCAAAAACATTTTTTAGAACACAATCTGACTAGCTTATATTTTCCAGAAATCTTCTTAGCATTTTGATTGTTTGCAATTTGGAATAAAGTTGGAAAAGTATGTCGAGCTATAAAAAGAATTTGACTGCGAGTCCCTAGCACCAAACTAAAAAAAAGACACACCCCCCCCACATATACTGAAACTTTAACTGTTCCCTTTTTGGTAAAGAGTTTATACTGCTTTGAAAAAACACTTGATGGTCCCAAAGATCAGGTAGTCATAGATGGATAAGTGACGCGGATAGCCCTGCCTATCTTGCTTGAAAGATTTACAGTAAGCTGCATAAAGCTGTATGTTTCGAGTTTATCAATCAATCGAGGTGTAGAATTTGGGGTTGTTAGTTGTATGTTTCCGCAGTGTATCCACTATCCAGTGGTTCCAGGGAGGGAGAGTGGCTTGAAATCAGGAACAGTAATAATGGATATACAAATATTTTTGTTCTGTTAGCCAAATTATGCTATTTTACATGAACGTTGCAGCATGTCTGTATACGTGAAAACTCTGGATCTATATCTACTGATCTGTGGATGGTGCTCAGTTTTGAAAATATATTTTGATATATTTTATATCCTTTTAAATTTCTCCGGTGGACTGTTCAGACAGGAACTGTTTCCTTGCAGGGCTTGCTAAATTTTTCTTTATCTTTATGAACTGGGTCAGCTCAAAAAATGTCTAAAAATATTTGTACATATAGAATCTATAAATTCTTTTTTTTGTATAAACTAAAACGCTTAAATTTACCAGTTTTTTTAGTAAGAAACAGATCAGAAATATTATGGCAAATCATCTTTTTAAAGTATCTCTATGATTTATGAAAATTTTGCCATATTAGTATCTCAATAAAAGGTCGCCAGGCAGTTATTCCCCAACCTTCTTCAATTCCAATTTCATATATTCCAGATGGAATAAATCCTCCACCTTCAAAACATCTCAGGTACAGTTGTACATGCATTAATAAAATATTAACAGACACTTCTCCAATTATTCATCTTATTCAGAAACCATATCAAATGAAATATTAATTTAGTATTAATTTAGTTTGGTTGGAAACCAAGCTCAAGTTGCAGAAATTCAATATTCATAATAGTTTTCGAGCATGCTGATTATCATACAAATGCAAATAACTGAAAATAATACTCAATTAAGAATAAAGACCATACAGTCACAAAAAATAGAAACGAAACAAAATCTTTCTACAGATTGGAGTGGGTGTATGGATACAGGGGACGAGATGCCCGATGTAATCTCTCAATCCTTCCAACCGGAGAAATTATTTATTATGTAGCAGCAGTTGTTGTCCTTAACAATTTACAAGAACAGTTGCAACGACATTATTTAGGTGAGGATAACAGTGTTCTCCCAAAATCTACACGATGAAGAAAAGTAAAGTATGAATGCAGTGATCTGACATTTTTTCTATGGGTGTAAAACTGGAAGATGTTGCGAGCAGGAATTTTCTTAATAAATGATTGTAGGGCGTAAGGTGTAATATGATCGCTTAGTTATTCATAAGGACCTGGTCTTGATTCTAATATATTTGTATTATTTAAGTTTAGAAAATTTTATTGTATGTCCCTAGTCAAACTTTTTGAGGCTTCCTCATTATAAAAAAAAACTCTAAACCTAATGGTTAGGGTGCAAGTAAGGATTTAAAAAAATCTAAAATTACGGTAGAAGTTTTTAGAAAATTAGTTATACTTAATTCTGAAAAATATTAACATGTGACACATATTATTACATTCATTTTTCAAGGGCTTTTTAAATACATAAACGTTAGCCTTGTTGCTTAATTATGTAGGAAGTTATTAAACCATTTCTGATTATTTTGAAACACTGACCTGCCGTTTTACTGTCCTGTTTTTTAGCTAAATTTGTTCACAGCTATAAAGTTAAAAAAGTGAAGAAGTTTTAGCGTTCTCATGTACAAGCCGTTTTAAAGTTATTTAAAAAAGGCTAACTCCCCCCCCCCCCATCATGACATTGTTAGGGTTTATAAGATTCTAACAGAAGGACCCTAAAAACTTGAAATAGGATGACCAATGAACAATCCAATGAACATGTAACCCAGCAAATGTGTAGTGTAAATACACCCATTAATTAATACGTTGACTTTCAAGCTACTAGTAAAACAGAGCTGAAAACTTTAGAATGGTGGACATCGAGATCAATGCTTGATCTCCTCTTTTTCTTAATCTCCAGATTAAATAACGCTTGTTCTCCTCATGTAATTAATCTGCAGATTAATTAATCGATCGGGATTAAGGATATCCCATTCTAAAGTTTTCAGCTGTTTTATAACAACATCAAACAAGCATAAGATTTCTTAAATGTCTTCTTCCTAATCCTCAGTTTATGGGTCCCACAGTCTAATTTCTTTAAATTATCCCCATCCAGCAAACAGTAAATTACCCCTTTATAGAAAGAAAGACAAAGTAGGCTGGGCAGGAGCAGTTTGTATCAGTGTATTTACTATTTATTCTTCAATATTTCAGGTCATACAGAGGAAATCAAATGCATAGCAATTCATCCAAATAGAATGATTGTAGCCTCAGGTAAAAAAATGATTTTTTTAAATAATATTTTATCCCAAAAATATGGTGTAGAAGTTAAATATTATTATTTTTATTAAACTCGATCAGGCGCAAGAGGGAAGGAAAGGGCTTCTTTTAAGACCCTGATTATATGATTTTAAAAAGATTTTTTTTTTACTTAATTGGCCAATGCCAAAATTTGTACAATTAACTATACTCAGGGCAAGGACCTGGTGTTTATAAAAGAGAAGGGGATCCTCATATCCAGGTATTTAAGTCAAGCAAAGAAACACTGATATTTTCGCAACCTTAGTCCAAATTTAATGAATTTAAGCCGCGTCTCGAATCCACCAAAAAACCGTTTTCAATTGAGCACAGGCTTAAATCTTGAAGCATTAAATACAATTTTAAGTGGAACCAACCACTTTTAAGCCGCAGCTCAAATTCTTTAAATTCCGCCTCTGCAAACCTAAATGTTTTGTCAAAATTAAGAGTCTCTTTACAGCAGAAAACTTAACTGCCCATTCTTAAAAGCCATATTTCAGTGATTATGCTGAATATTTGTCGCAATAAATACAATAAATATTTGCACATTTTAGTAATGCTCTTCTCAGAAAATTGTATTATAGGTTTTTTTTGTATTATGCTGCATTTTTAGGTACTTACCTTGGTAACAAACACATAAGGAAATAAAAGAAATATCAACCAATTAATTCATAAGTTCCATTTGTATCCATTGGCCTCTCCCATTAATCCTAGGCTTTAATTTCAGGTTTGGAATGCTGTGAGTCTACAAACTCTTCATATACTGGGTAGAGGAGATTCTAGAAGAGCTGCTACAGCACTATCCTTCTCTAAGGTACAGATTTAACTCTTCATATATACTGGGTAGAGGAGATTCTAGAAGAGCTGCTACAGCACTATCCTTCTCTAAGGTATAGATTAAACCCTTCATATACTGGGTAGAGGAGATCATAGAAGAGCTGCTAAAGCACTATCCTTCTCTAAGGTACAGATTTAACTCTTCATATACTGAGTAGAGAAGATTATAGAAGAGCTGCTACAGCACTATCCTTCTCTAAGGTACAGATTTAAACCCTGAACTGTTTACTTGAGCAGGACAAAACCAGCTAATTTTGCTCTTGAAAAGTTAACCTAATAATTTTCAAGGGGGTTGGACCTTGAACGCTCATTAAATTCGACCTTGACCATTTCTTACATTAGACCTTTACCATTCATTACATTAGACCTTTACCATTCATTACATTAGACCTTTACCATTCATTACATTAGACCTTTACCATTCATTACATTAGACCTTTACCATTCATTACATTAGACCTTTACCATTCATTACATTAGACCTTTACCATTCATTACATTAGACCTTTACCATTCATTACATTAGACCTTTACCATTCATTACATTAGACCTTTACCATTCATTACATTAGACCTTTACCATTCATTACATTAGACCTTTACCATTCATTACATTAGACCTTTACCATTCATTACATTAGACCTTTACCATTCATTACATTAGACCTTTACCATTCATTACATTAGACCTTTACCATTCATTACATTAGACCTTTACCATTCATTACATTAGACCTTTACCATTCATTACATTAGACCTTTACCATTCATTACATTAGACCTTTACCATTCATTACATTAGACCTTTACCATTCATTACATTAGACCTTTACCATTCATTACATTTGACCTTTACCATTCATTACATTTGACCTTGACCATTTCTTACATTAGACCTTTACCATTCATTACATTTGACCTTGACCATTCACTTACATTCAACCTTGACCATTCATTACATTCCACCTTCACCATTCGTTACATTTGACCTTGACCTTTCATTACATTCCACCTTTACTATTCATTACATTTGACCTTGACCATTTATTACATTCTACCTTTACTATTCATCCTATTTGACCTTGACCATTCATTACATTTGACCTTGGCCATTCCTTCACATTCAACCTTTACTGTTCATTACATTCGACCTTCACCATTCATTATACCTTGACCCTTCCTTACATTCCACCTTGAGTGTTAATGCATCCTATTCTAGCTTGACCGTTCATTGCATTCAATCAGATCAACTCTGATCATTTTATATTTGTTTTCAGACGGATGGAGGAATATGGTTGGTAGGAGTAGAGGATACTGCAGAAAACAATATAACTGTCTGGGATTGGAGCAGAGAACATAAACAAATCAACACCAAGGTAGACTAGACTCAAAGTCCTAACTTTTATGTGTTCACTCCCTTTCAGAAAGCATTAATTATAATCTCTGATGGTTTTACACTCTACAGGTTAACTGAAATTCTTGTTGATAACTCCAAAGATTTTGACAGCAATTAACCAATCAGGACAACGCCATACACATCTGCTTACAACCTAGGGAAGCATATTTTTGGTTAACCATGAAGGAAAAAGATAAATTAAGACCAATGGTGCTTCAAGATCAGCAAGCAGGGAAATTACTTTTTACATTACTAGAGGATTATAGTCAATATAGATGGTATAATAATCAGACATTAGATAATTGTTTTTAAAGCTGTCTAATCTGGTTCTTCATGGTTGGGCTAAACTTAAATTTGAATTAGATTTTCTATTATAAACCTTGTAACTTTTCAGTGTTCCAGTGAAACAACGGTTTGTGCAGAATTCCATCCATTGGAGGAAGGTGTCATCATTACTTGTGGCAAAGGTTAAAACAATTTACAGAATTTCTAAACCCTTGTTGTGGAAATTCTTTTTTATTCCTTATTCATGCAGGTCATGTGAATTATTGGCAGATTGATTCAACCCTGACTTCATTAAGCCGAAGATCAGGTGTACTGGATCCAAGAGATAAACCGAAATTCTTTACTTGTCTTCAGTTCTCAAGTTCAGGTAAAACTAAAAGAAAGTTTTTAAAATATTTTGACCACATGTTTTAATGTTATATCATTAGAATTTAAAAAATGTGTATAAAAATAATCCAGTTGAAACACTGGCAAATAAACTTAATTAAAAAGGGTTTCAGTAATAATTTCCAAGTCAAGTTTGTTCTGCTAAGGTTTCAAGAAAATATAGTTCAAACTTTTAATTTTTCTATTTTCTTCAGGTGATTTGTTGACTGGAGATTCCAACGGAAACATATTTGTTTGGGGCAACAGAGGAACAGTTGTAACACAGGAAACATTTTCAATTATAAACATCTTTTTATATTAAATAACTATTGTGATGGACCATTAACTATGTCAGGATTTTTCCAGCAATGAATTGAAAATGTTGTAAGGCGATTTGGGACGCTCATGATGGTCCTGTTTTTTCGCTCTGTGTTCTCAGAGATGGAACTATTCTTTCAGGTCAAAATATTTTTAGATAGCGTGAGTATGTGCGGTTGCTCAAAATAGAATTAAGAATATTATAAAAAACAAACTTGACCATCTGCACAACCGCCTTTTGCCAAAATGAAAAACAGACAATCTCTAATTTGTCAACAGTTGATCATTTGGTGGTAACTAGTGTTTTCATTGTATTGTTACCAGGAGGAGGACGAGATGGAAGAATAGTTAAATATGACTCAGAGTTGAAATCTCCAGTTGGAGTAGAAGCAGTTGTTCCAGAACATCTGGGAGCTGTTAGGGTCATATCTCAGGGTAATAAATTAATTCTCATTAGAAATTAATAAAATTGAATAGTTACAACTTGCACATAGAGAATTTGTTTTGTGTAAAATTTTGACAAAAGTGCATACCTGATTTGAAACAATATATGGTTGATATTAAATTATGAAACAAAATTGTAAATGCTACAATTCTAAAATTGTCAAGTTCTTTTTACTCTCATGTATATAAGCACAATATTTTTCTTTAGGAGTGGGAAGTCAAGTACTTGTTGGTACAACGAAAAATTGTATACTGGCCGGTACACTTGACCTAGGGTTCAGAGAGGCCGTGCTGGGTCACTCTGATGAGGTAGCCTGTCTGGCTGGTAGACAAGGAACTGGACAGTTCATAACAGCAAGTCATGACAGGTCAAATTAAAAAAAAAAAACATTTTGTTATGTAAAATCAAAGAATATCAGCGAAGTAAAAATATTATTACAATAAAAAAGCGTTTCAAAACTGTAGATTATTTAATTTTTGAATAACTTAGAATGCTTTATATCTGGGACAGCATGAGCTTTTCTCCTGTATGGACCAGCAATGTTGGAGAGCAGGTACATATGCTCTGCATATTCTATAGAATGCAAGGATTGTTTACTGAATCTTAAGATACATAATACCCCAATTTTTGGAATTAGGAAGACGACTAAACCTGCAATCTCTGAAAGTCAGAATAGTCTTCACATTTATAACTATATTTATATATTTCAGCTTGTTGAATGTTTTTGGAAATCCGTCGTTCTTTTACAACCTTTAAATGAAATAAATAATGTTTGTTATCATTTTGAGAACATTGTTCCAAACAAATCATGTGTTACACTTATAGTTAGTTGTTATAATATCTTCTGTGTGTTTCAAACTTGTTAAAAATTTGTAAATAACCCATAACGTGCATTATTCTATGCCCACAATAGATTTGTCCTTAGATTTTGTCCTGCTATTTAGATTCAGTCTGGAGCTTTTTCTCCTGATGGGGAGATAATTGTCGTGGCAACCATTACAGCAAAATGGATTATTATAGATGCAAGAACAAGGTGATTTAGAAACATCTTTAAGTGAAAATTAAATTTTAAAATTTATAGAACATTTTCTTTTTCTATTTTTTTAAATTTTTAGATCAAAGGTTAACTATCGATTTAAAATGTTTCTTGTCCCCTAGAGAGGTGCGAAGTATAACTCAGGAAGGTTGTGATCCTCTCCTAGCGGTCAAATTTTCACCTTGCGGTCACATGTTGGCTCTTCTTGCCCGAACTGCACTTTTCCTTTATCAGGTTAAATCAATAGTTTTGCTAACTCATATAAAACTCCATCTAAAGATATTTACATGAAATTTTACCTGTCTATAACTCTGGATAGTGATAGATGTATGGTGGTAGGCGATTATATCAATAGAATGAAGATGGTAGGCGATTATATCAATATAATGAAGATGGTAGGCGATTATATCAATATAATGAAGATGACTTTCTTTTTCAATTTACATCAAACTTTAAAACAACATTGATACACAAACATGGAAACAAAGAGAAGCTGTCAATTAAAAAAGTTTCTCTTTAATCACGTGTAAACTTGAAATTCTAAAAATAATGGTTTACAGTTAAAATTTTAAGAAAAACGTCGTCTTCATTATGTTGATATAATCTCCTACCACCTTATCCTTTCCTTTCCTTTTCCTTTTATTTCTATTTTTATATTTTTTTTAGATTTGGGGAAAATATCCCCACAACCTCTACTTTTAGAGATTTTTGAATATTTTCACACTTAATTTTGTATGTTTTCGGTATATTTCATAAATAAATATTTTTTTTACTTTTTTATATATGTCAATATTTGAAGGTGAAAGATGGATATAATAGATTTGAACGACGAGGAAGGTTTGCTTGTGCTCAGTCGGCTGCATTCACCTCTATGTCCTGGTCCATAGATTCACAATATATTCAGGTTAAAATGCTATTTATTAACTTTGCATGTCTGTTTGTCTGTCCGTTTGTATCCAATAAGGGTTAAAACGTTTGAGCTCATCAGGAACAAATTTTGCGCGGTACCTTACATGACCCCAGGGAAGGTTTTCAAAATAAAAATTTAAATAGAAGATGGGCGGGAAGAGCCCTATAAGACTAGTATTCATACAAAGCTCAGAGCTGGGCTTTTATGGCGCCTTGCGCTGTTTTCCCAATACTAGTTTTATAATATCCTTCCAATAATCCAATGCTAGGGAATATATTCAACTTCTGACCCGACTTAACCATCTCTCAGGTCATGTAAGATCAAATTACAATTTTCGGTTTAATCGGTTCAGCCGCTTTGACGTTTTGTGTGAAACAATCAAAAAACAACCCAAAAAAGCAATTACAGAAAGATGTTCCCCCCCCAGCATATCCTGGTTTTCAAGTACCCCAGCAGAGATAGGGTTAAAATATGATACGTGAAGAGTCGATTGGAATTATCTGAAAGCCCCCTTTTAATGAAGTCTTAAAGGATTGTGGTACACTCAAAAAACTGAATTATTTTTCAGGTGACCAACTCTGATTTTGAGATCAATATCTGGAAGCTATTTAGTGATCATGACAAAAACAAAAAAGGCCAGAACAAGATAAAAACAGAAAATATTACATCTCCAAGGAAAAAATCAAATCCTTCAAAAGAGGATACATATCAGGAAAGATCTAAAGAAGCAGAAAAGAATGCTAGCAGAACAAGTTTAAACCTGGTCACTCCACGAGGAACTTCTCCACATGACTCCATAGAAGAAAGATCGGTATCAGATTCATTAGCAGATAAATATCTCAATGATTCCCTAGGAGATAGAGATTCTAAGGATCTTGAAGTAGATTCCTTGGCTGATAGATCTTCTAGAGATTCCCTTGATGAAAAATCATTCAAGGAAACACAGATAGAAGAAATTACAGCGTATGCACTGGAAAATGTTATTAGAATTAGGGATTTGAATGGAATCAGGTAAAGGAATTGAGTCTTTTCTACACACTCTGATTTTTTAACCCAGTCTCGTAGACCTTAGATTTTTCAAACTATGAATTCTGTTAGATCAAATAATATCAAAGGTTTACAACATCAGGTTGCAAATAAATAGGGATTAGCAAATTTAAATGAAGAAATATCTTGTTTATAATTTCAATTTTACATTTATTAAACAAACAAAAAATTATTAACACTTTTTTGTTTGAGGGATGTGAAATGGGAGTCAGGAGACTGCCTGCTGACCTGGAGTAGTATAGGGGTGTGGCAGGTAGGAGCTAATTAAGTAAAAAATGCCTTAATAAAGCTTTCAATAAATTCTTAGTCATAAAACACATATCATTGTCTGTAGTTATATAAAAAAAATATTTTAATAGATAAACATACAATTCCAGCAACTCCTTTCAAAACTTTCGTGTTTGCCTTTTTTTGTTTGAGAAGTAGAGAACTATTTATCTACAGAAAATCTACATTTTCTTGTAAAAAAATTTAAACATTTTGAGCGTATTTTTGTAGGTTCTCGACAATGGTTGTGAAAATACAGTAGGGTCTGTATCTTATGATGGATCTCTTCTAGCTGTAGGAGAGGAAGGAGGGAGAATACGGGTTTATAGGTAATAAGTAGCAATTTTTGTGTTTCTGTATGTTAGGGTGTCTGCCTGTGAGTTTGTTCCATTAAACGTCAAGAAGGCTTAACCGATCAGGCCCAAATTTTGTGTGAGACCTCATATAACCACAGTGAAGGTTTATGGATGATCAAAATTTCAAAAATTAGCCTCAATAAAAATTCGATTTTCATCAAATTTTTAAAACCACAAAATTATTTGTTTTATAATGTATACAAAGAGAAAATGTTCAATTAAAATAGAAGATTGACGTAAAGAACCCTGAAAGCCTAGTAATTAATAATAAGAATTAGAATAATAAGAATAATGATAACACTAAAATAATTATGATGATTTTAAAGTTTTTTCTCTCTCCAGGTATCCAGCAGATAAAACGGTGTGCAAATATATACAAGCTCAAGCCCACAGTGGGCCAATTACAGGAATTAGGTACATTTTACAACTTCTTCTCGGAGTGGGACTTTAGCATGTTTTTTCAAATTAAATTTTTCTTTTCATTTTCTAATTTAATCCCAGTAATAAAGAAGAATGGCTTACTATAGTTCATTTATATGATTTCTAAACTATATAGTTCATTCAGATTACAATAGTTGGGAGACTGCAGTGTCAACTCTATAGTTCAATTCAGATTACAGTAGTTGGGAGACTGCAGTGTCAACTATATAGTTCAATTCAGATTACAGTAGTTGGGAGACTGCTATATAGTTCAATTCAGATTACAGTAGTTGGGAGACTGCTGTGTCAACTATATAGTTCAATTCAGATTACAGTAGTTGGGAGACTGCTGTGTCAACTATATAGTTCAATTCAGATTACAGTAGTTGGGAGTCTGCAGTGTCAACTTGGAAAATTTATTTTTTGTTTTAGATTTATACCTGGAACCTCTAGACTGATATCTACAGGGGGACGGGATACTGCTGTTCTCCAGTGGATTATAGAAACATAAACAAATATTTATCAAAACATTTTTTTTTCATTTTTCTTTGTCATTTAAATATCATGGTATATTGTGCATTGTAGGTCAAACATTTGATTTTTCTTTTGATTTGTAAATTTATTTTTGTAAATATAAAAGTTTAAACGTTGTTTTTTACTTTCGTTATTTTTAAGATATAGACATTTCAATGATTTCTGAATGATTTTAGAACAGATAGATAGATATTCAGATCTGATAGAGTACAAGTATAGAAAAAATTTAAAGATTGATATAGTGTTATAGATTATGTGTATTAATAGATAAATAGATAAATAATTTGAATGATCAATAGATTTATAATGCACTGATATCTAAACAACTCTTAATGTTAGTCATATTTAGTCAAATATTTAGACAGCTTCCTTTTTTAAGTCTCACAACGCCTTGGTCTTTTGTTTATACCACACCAACTTACCTATCTTTTCTGTAGTCCTAGACATATACATTTTAAAATCGTTCCTAGCATAAGCTTAACAGAATTAATTAGCAAAATACTGTATGTTTTTTGAGTCAAATAGATAGATAGATTGACAGGTAGATAAATATAGATCTATTTAGAAGGATTTATCATTGGATTGCAGGGAAAGTTGGATAATAGTCGATGGATAGATAGATATTTAAATTAATTGATTGATTAATTGATCAAAGATTAATAGATTGATAGATTGATAGATTGATAGATTGATAGATTGATAGATTGAAAAATTAATAGATTGATCTTTGATAGTTTGAAAGATTGATAAATTAATAGATTGAAAGTTTGATAGATGGATAGATTGGTAGATAGATAGATTGATAGTTAAATAGATTGATAGATTGGTAGATAGATAGCTTTTATTTATAGTTAAATGCAATGTTTAAAGGAAGTCTTCCTATTACAATGTTGAATAAAATACCTGACTTGCACACCTCACTATTCATGCTTCATTCAATCCTTTATATAATACCTAGTGCAGTAGCTTACATTTTTACATTATTTAAGATGACAGTAAGCATTAAGTGACCCTCCATGCTAGGAGGGCAATTCCCGATTTACAACGGTACCCTTTAAACCGGTGACTGCTCATCAAGAGGGCGATTTTAAAGAATTTGAGCCGCGGCTCAAATATGGTTTGTTCCACTTAAAATTGTATTCAATTTTTCTAGATTTAAGCCGGGGCTCAATTGAAACCGGTTTTTTGGCAGATTTAGGCGGTGGCTCAAATTAATTAAATTCGGACACAGGATAGAGAACTCACTCTCTTAATTCCGAATATTGATGTTCGAATTTTCGTAAATTCAGAGTGTACGCTAGCGTACAGTGTGAACTAAACTCTGTTTACTTGTGTCCCTTCAAAATACCGAAAATATTTTACGCCCCAAAAAAAATGCGAATAAAAAATTTATATTCTGCCACTTATAGAAAGTAAAAATTATTATTTTTTATATATTTATTATAATTCTTCCAATAAAATCAATTTCCTAGGTCAGTCAAAAGTTTAAAGGGTCCGGTATTGTTGTGACTTAAAATTACTCAAACAGTCCTTTTCATGAAACTAGAGAATTGAAGAGCCAATTGTGCGTGCTGACACGGAATAATGTGCGTGCTGACACGGATTAATGTGCGTACTGACACGGATTAATGTGCGTGCTGACACGGAATAATGTGCGTGCTGACACGGAATAATGTGCGTGCTGACACGGATTAATGTGCGTACTGACACGGATTAATGTGCGTGCTGACACGGAATAATGTGCGTGCTGACACGGAATAATGTGCGTGCTGACACGGATTAATGTGCGTGCTGACACGGATTAATGTGCGTACTGACACGGATTAATGTGCGTGCTGACACGGATTAATGTGCGCGCTGATACGGGTTAATATAATGTGTGTGCTGACACGGATTAATGTGCGTGCTGACACGGATAATGTGCGTACTGACACGGATTAATGTGCGTGCTGACACGGAATAATGTGCGTGCTGACACCGAATAATGTGCGTGCTGACACGGATTAATGTGCGTGCTGACACGGAATAATGTGCGTGCTGACACAGATTTATGTGCGTGCTGACACGGAATAATGTGCGTGCTGACACATATTAATTATAAATTGTTAAGTTATGTGACTATAACATCATGTTTCCATCCAGCTAATTTTTTGTTGCATAAATCTTGATGGGTCAACGGTACCCACTGGGTTTACTTGACAGCAAGGTACGAGTAATCGTGCATAGAGTTGCAATTACACTGGACAGGTAGATTCTTGTACTGGTTTGGATCATGCAATGATTGGGTCTATGAGGGAAAGTGGAATCCAAAATATTTGAAAAATTAAGGTGTTCGTTTGCAAGTATATAAATAGATACAATACATCATTCGTAGCTGAGAGTAGTGTGCGGATTTATTTTTATGACTTTGCAACCTTGTTTATTAAATTATCTATGTGTTAAGGATTACGGGTGAGCTTTTTAAAAAAACAGCTCCAAGCTATCCAAGCTCTCATGCCGCAGTAGTTTTACATGATTTTGTTAAACTCTGTTATTATTTATTATTTCTGCAGAAAATATATGAATTGAATTGAATTGAATTGAGTTGAATTGAATTGAATTGAATTGAATTGAATTGAATTGAATTGAATTGAATTGAATTGAATTGAATTGTTACCTATAGCTCTGGCCAGGTCAAACACCTAGACCAAATTGCCTGATTTTTTTTATTCCACGGGCTACGCCGGGTACTTCAGCTTTTATTTTATATTTCTATAAAATAAATATTTGATACAAAAACATTTTGCATGACACAAGAATTATCTGGACAATGACCGAGTTATATAGTGATTACAAAATAGAGTATAAATATTTCCGTCATCTCCAGAAGTTCAAACAGTTTTAGTTTAGAATTAAAACAACATGGTTCAGTTTAGAATCCTTGCTGTTATTGTTGTTGTTGTTGTTTTACAAACCAGTTTGGCTCGACCTAGCTATGGATCTGGGGGTAAGTAGATTCTTCCGTATAACTGAGCCAAATTTAACGAAAATCTGAAATCAAAGGGTATCCTATAAATGTGCAGTTATAGCGATGGATTAGATATAGATTGGATTAGATGGGCTGATATACTGGTGGGCATGAATTTAGTTGAAAGTTGACATCATGTACATTGTACAGGGTTACCCACAAAGGATGAGACTGTAAAAATCATTTGAAACTCTTGAGTTAAGTCTTCTGTCTTTAATACTGTCTTTTAATGACTTTATTAACAATTTGACTAAAGAAGAGTTTACAGTTCCAGGGAATCTTGATTATAAGAAAACAGGCAGAATATATTCCGTACAGTCGTCTGTCAAGTCTCGTTCTTTGTGGGAAACCCTGTATGTCTATGGATTTAGCTATTACGACGATCTGAACCATCATGGATATGGATATGGATATAAATATGAAAATTATAGTTCGATAAAGAAGTAGTAACATGAATTCAATAAACATACTTCTCCATAAGGCATTATGATCTATGGACATGGATTTAGAAGTTAAATGTATAAACTACAGGTGGGTATAGCGGTGGATATGGATTCAGTGGACACGCCGGTCTGAATCATCATGGATATGGATATGGAGGATCAGATTACGCGGGTGGATATGGATTCAGGTAGAAAACATTTTTTTACGAAACTTTAATTGGTCTAATTCTGATTTATCTATGTATATATATACATATTCAAAAATAAAGATACATCTAATAAAGTTTATAAAACTGTTTAGTGGGCATGCTGGCTTAAACTGTCATGGTTACGGATGTGGAGGTAATGTTGAATAAGCATTAAAGAAACCAATAAATTAATTAATTGTAATATAGATAGTTTTACTTTCTCATCATCCTAACTTTAAAGCAACTTTTCCAATTTTCTGTAAACTTAAACAATTATGCGTTGACACTGGATACATTTTATTTTACCTACTGTGGAGTAGTGACCAGTGAACTTTTGTGAGCAGAATATCGTTCATCTTGATGCTTGATCTTGATATCCAATAGTGGGGGGGGGGCTTTTTAGAATATTAATAGTGAGTGAGTCCTGTTGGCTATGTACTTTTAGTTATAGTATTCATTCAAATATATTAATAGTGATATGTCCGATAACCTTGTTAAGGCAAAGGTTTAATTCTGCTTCATCTTTAAATGGAAGAGCAATTGAAATTACGCTTACAGTTAATCCATAAGTCTGCATGAGATGGAGATCAATGCTTGATCTCAAGAGTTAAAACACATGAATTCTAACTTCAGAATATGTTGCTGTTACATTTGTAGAATTAATCTATTCAAGATATTTTGATAAAGGTGGAGGCTACGGAGATGGAGGAGGCCACGGAGGAGGTCACGGAGGTCATGGTGGGGGCGATGGACATGGAGGTCACTAAACATAGCCTCTGCTTGTCATTGAATGTAATTTTTTTTTTCTTTTTGATTTTTTTCTTTCTAAGAAACAGTTTAGTGTATAAAAACCAGTTAGTGTATAATAACCATTTTAGTGTATAAAAACCAGTTTTGTGTTTAATAACCAGTTTAGTGTTTAATGATAATTAATATTGCTTATATTTTTAATTGAATTTAAAAAATTGTCATTTATAAAAGATATAATTGATAATATTATTTATATTTCCGTATCATGTGATCAGAACTCCCACCAATGACAGTGCAGTATACCGGTCACATGATACAGACAGAGTCACGTGATAATGATACCGCACTGCCATTGGTGGGAGTTCTGGTCACATGATATGGACATATTTATTATATTATCATTTATATCTATGAAAAATGTAAAAAAAAATTTAAATAATAATAGGAGCAAACCTAAGTTTCTTAGGCTCCTCTATGAAATCGTCGTTTTCAGTTTGATTGCGTATTTGTTGAATATGATCCGTTTAATCCAACTATTTTTTACAACATTTTATATATATAGATTTTTGTAAAAATTTGACTCAGTTTTATATCAATTTCTTGGGTCTCAATCAACTCATAAAATGCTTAGGTTTTAGCCTATTTTTCCTTTTCGTTTTTCCTTCACAGTCCCTTTAAAGAACGGATTAACTATAGGATGCCCACCACATAGCGACTAGAAATAAAAGTAGAACCAATTCAGAATGTACCACCGTTCATACATCCCATTCGCAATCGCAATCATTCCCTGTAAGCTAAAAATTCATCAAAACTTGCTAATTCAGACTTGATTTTTACTTTTGTACTACTTGAAAACTTTCTTTGTGAATCAACAGAAAATTGAAAATTGAGTAAACAAATAAGTACACACATTTTAAAGGAACCACATAAAATTAAAAATTTACTATGTAGATAAATATCCCAATATTGCAATCTTTAAATTTTGGTATCATAAAGCGCTTCAAGGTCGTAACTTTTGTGATGTATATCAGATCGACTATAAAGCACTGATCCGCATCTTTACTGGTCGGATAAACCTTTAGGATATCTGTAGAGGTTCAACTACGGATTAAGCACCTCATTGCTTCAATTAAAAGTTTCGAGTTTAGACATTCAGAGTCCGAATTTAATAAATTTGAGCCGCGTCCTAAATCCATCAAAAATTGGTTTCAATTGAACGCCGGTTTAAATCTTGAAACATTGAATACAATTTTAAGTTGAACCAATCATATTTGAGCCGTGCGTCTCAAATTTAAGCCACGGCTAAAATTGTTTAAATTAAGCCTGAACTTTATAGAACTATCCTATTCACAGGTTCAGGCCTAAGAATAAGACACATGTTATAATTTAGATTAAAGTGATAGACTCTCGATTGAGTGAAACCCCTCTTTCCTCAAATTCAATATGTTATTTTATTTATGATATTTGTTATCTTTTTGTGTTTATGTTTGAAAACTTGTTTTATTTGAATAAATTTTATTTGAAGTATTTAAATAATATTGTCAAAAGTGAAAGCATTTTTAAATATGCATGAACAAATTTTTTAAATTGAAATACAATTTCCGCTCGAATTAGATAGATATCAAGTGCTATGATATAGCCTATATTTTGTTATTTAAATCAACCTAAATCAAGTAATGAACACGCTGTGTTGTTTTTATGTACATACTGAGTTAACCACAAAGGAAAATACTTCAGAGACGACTATGCGGATTTTTTTAGTCTTTTTTAGCATTGATTGGTTTCTAACAGATTTTAACTTTTTTCTTTTTTGTCAAATTATTTCGAACACCTATAAAAGATAGTATTTCAAACCCTAGTATATATTAATATTATTATTATTATTATTATTATTATTTATGTTTAATATGGCTCAAATGAAGCCGCAAGAAGCTTTTGACAATACTGCATACTCAGTTCAACTACCTTACATAGCCAGACACTCCCTTTAAAGTCCCTTAAAACAGTAACAATGAGGATATGAAAATGTTTCTCTTACGTACTTAAAATAATAAAAAATAGTTAGAAAGTCTCTTTCCAACTATTTTATTTCAGTTCACTACCAGAAGATAATTCACAGAGATATTAAACCAAGTAACCTTCTAAGAGCAGACTCAGGAGAGGTATTATTATTATTATTATTACTATTTTTATTATTATTATTATTATCATCATCATCATTGCCCGTTACTACCTAAATCGGTTTAACGACTGGTAGAATTAAAACTATCATCAAATACTAAAAATGTTTTTTTACAAAAAATTTCTATATTTTTACTTTCAAGTCGTTATTTAAGTCTCAATCTTTGTGAGCAGCCCTACAAAGATAAGATAAAGATAAGAAAAAATAAACAGAAATAAGCTACAATGGTAAAATTTCTTGAAATAAGCTATAATGATAAGATACAATGGTAAAATTTCTTGAAATAAGCTACAATGGTGAAAGAAAATTGAGTCTTTGTAACAATCTCTGATTTTCTAATACCTATATTCTTTCCACCTGATGGTGTAAACCTTTGATATTTCAAACTTAGATTTTTTCATCTAACAGAATTCATAGTTTGAAATATCTAAGGTATACGGCATTTGATTACAAAGATATAGAGATTAGAAAATCATAGTTTGTGACAAAAACTCAATTCCTTTCTTGAAATAAGCTACAATGGTAAAATTTCTTTAAATTCAAAGTTTTGCAATCTGCACTGCGGTAAATAGATACTGGCTTTACCTTCAACACTTAATTTCCTTCTCAATTTTCCAAAACATTTCCATCAGCCCCTCATATTTGAAAAATAGTTTTTACTGTAGAATCTGTATAAACTATGTAAAGAAGAAACTAGATTCAAGCTCAGTTTAGTAAAACATCTCATTCAGACCACAGATAGCTTATAGAGTTTATATTCTTAGGTCAAATATTCAAACAGTTTAAATAGTGTTCTGTTTTATCTTAAAAATGGATTGGTCAGGTATTTAAGGAAATGAGGGACTAACCACTCTTTAAGCCGAAGATTCGTACTTCACGTTATTATGGTCACTGATCACGTCTAACTCAAATAAAGACAGAACAGTGTGATTTAACTTTTTGAATTTTTAAATTCTGCTTTTAGTAACTTTCTTCCACTGCATGAGAGGACTTTATTAAATTAGGTATATAATCATCCTTTCATATATAAACAATTTCTTTAAAGACTAAAGGAGGTATTTTGCCCAGGGGCATACTGGAGGTTGATTTTTTTGGTGCATCCTCCCGTCGTGGTGGACAATGTAGATGTTGCTTTAGTGTATTCCTATTTTCATGTCAATTTTATATTTCTGTACAGTGGGACATATAAAACTGTGGAAATAGAAAGACGGCATTTTAGCAATCTAAATAATATTTTATGTCGTTATAATATATATAGCTGGTTTGCTTTGTCATGTTTATTGAATTTTTTAAATAAAATTATTATTACTAAAATTAGGTGGAAAAAATAATCAAAACAGCCAAGAGCTATTTTCCACCTAATTGCTTTATACTTGTACTGTTAAAATAATCATCAATTTTGTGATTGTAAACTCTATCTGTATACAGATACATTTATTTTAGCAATAAACTTTATCTTATCTTATCTTATCCTAACTTGAGACTTCATAGTCCACAGTTTTAGTGTTCTACTAGCTGCACATACCTTTAAATTTATTTATTAAAATAAAAAAAATTACGCGTCAGAATATTACTAAACAAAAATGGCTAATTCTTGTAATTTTTGCTTTTCTGTTTTGTTTAATCTGTTTTGAAATATAAATACACCGGGACAAATTGGATCATTGGCACACGTGTTCATGTACTGCAGAGAAACGTGTTTTCTTTTGAACTTGTGTAAATTCATTTTCAATATTTTCCCACGCCTTTAACAAACAACCTTCAGAAAATCCTCTGATTCAGTAGAAATTTCTGAACTAAAGCGTATTTATTGAAATGCGTCAGTGCAATACTTAACGCACACCAACCGGCGTCAGTATAGCGTAAAACAGCATGTATATTGTCTATAGAAGTACATGCAAAATTGTGTTATTTAATTAATTATCTTCAATAGAAAAAATGAGACGTTTCTGTGAATAATAGTGAAAAATGACAATGATGTGAGAATAAAATAAGAAAACACAGCCTTGTGCAAATTTTTTAAAATGTTGAAAGAGGTAAGAAAACATGTTTGTTAGACTGTAGACTGTAGACTATAGACTGTAGACTGTAGACTGTAGAATGTAGACTGTAGACTGTAGACTGTAGACTGTAGACTG